GAGTAATCATCGGGGCGGGGTAAACCCTCGCGAAACTCGATTATATTTCCCCCGCGCGCTTTCCGATGTCGCACGATGCCGCCCCGGACTTTTCGCGGCGGTACAGCGAATCCACTTCGTGCTGCAGTTGACGATAGGCCTCCTGCCACTCCGCGTAATAAAACAAAATTCTCTCGAAACGGACGTCGGACATGATGGACAAATGACGAAGAGAAGTCTTCACGAAGATCGTTTTACCACATCCCGTCGGACCGCAAACGATCGACGTCCAAGGATGCCTCCAGTGTACGTCCATGTCGCGCGAACAAGCGGTATCCGCGCGCGACTCTCTGGGGGGGAATGAAAAAAGACCGGCTTGCGAGCGCGGATTTATATCTCGAATCGCGCGACTGTGGGCTAGTAAACCCACGCGGGGGGCCCACGCGGCGGCCGTGGCGCTCGCGCCAGCGTACATCTGCGGGGACGCGCGCGCGCGCACGCCTCAGCGAGCTCTTTCCCGCGGCGCGGCGCGATTCGCGTCGCCGTGAGCGTGCTTCCTCACGCGACGCGCAAAAAGCTTATTTAGAGCTAAGGGGAAAGATACAGCTCGTATACCCTAGCGCTAGAACTGCGATTGTTGAGCTTATCGCGTTGGAACAAACGATATTTCTCGGTTCACGCTCAGGCGGCATATTTTATTCTCTTGTTTGAAAGTTACTTTTATCCGTCGCATTTAAACGTCGCGCAAGAAATTCAAATTGTTTTGCTCGCTCGCTTAAAGTCTAGAGATTGGAGGGGATATGAGTATGTGTAAGAACAAAAATTGATTTAAAAAGTTTTTTATTTTTTACATTCGCCTTCGCTGCATATAAAAGTCCTTATTTTTAAAGTATAGGGCGTAAAATTTACATAGATCTTTTTACAGGAGGAGTAAACAGACGAGTATATTCCGCAAATTTAGCATTTTTTACATTTTTCTTATATTTTACAGTTTTTACATTTTTCTTACCCTAGGAATAATTTTGAAATCTTACGCTACAAATAAGTAAAACAAAGGAGAGATCGCTATTCGCTGGAGACGTAACCGTACGGTACGGAGTATTCGTTGTCGTTAAAATTGAGCTTTAGTAATATCGACATGCAGGACTTTGTCTCGTCTCTTGTGACAATGTCGTGAAATACGGTGCGCTGAATCGCGCTAAATCGCAGTTTTATCACGGTTTTATCCTCAGCCATCTCTTCTCCCCTCTTTAACTTTTCCTCGGCTAGTAACAATGCCTTAATGAAGCTAAAATTAAGCACGCGAGAATTTTCAAAATTCAGGGTTATCCCCTTCACTTTGCAAATTTCTCGCGCGCATCCTTCGCCCGTACGAACGACGTAAGCGTAAAATTTCGAGCCGGCGGATACGAACGTCTCGATGTAGCTACCGGGGCCGTGACTCTCGAGTTCGTTCGTCATATCGCCCAAAAAATTTCCCGTACGCGGTTTGTACTCGTCGGAATCACCGGTGCTCAAATATATGCACGAATCGGTATCGTAATATAACACGCGACGACCTAACTTTTCTAAATACGAATAAAGTTTTAATCGGGCTAACGCCGTGGTGTAAGCGGCTATCGCGACGCTCGTCAGCGGAGACGGAGTGACGGCTTCTCGCCTCATTCGCTACGAAACATATATCACTTCGTCGTTTACGGGCAATACGTTTGTTATTTCGTGTTTCGGGCTCGTGAGCAGGGCCGTGAAACTCTCCCACGTTCTAACGATTTCGGTATTCGGTAGATTGGACCGTTGGCCGAATTTCCCCCTAAAGGAGTTGAGGCAGAGCTTTGTGACCGAGCGCAAGCCTGGATTCGGGGAGATATTCGCCCTATTGAGAACAATACCCTCGACTTTCTCGTATTCGCGCAGATAACGTTCCTTGCCGCCTTCGTCATTCGCGCATGCGTTCGGCTATCCGCTAGCCTCTTGCTTCAATTGCAGAAAGCAGTTGATATACTCGGTGAACAATCCCCCCCGCCGCGTAATCGGATCGTATCGCGTGACTTCGTACCTCCATATTTCGTTTACGCTCGTAACGCGATAACCTTTCTCGATAGCCTTGCGTAACTCGCAAGACACCCACGCACCTTCGAATTCACGATCGGCAGGGTCGTCGTACGTACACGCGGCCTGAGAAAATGTCTCGCAGCAGCTGCGACAAAGCGCGAATAGCAATTTTCCGTTCACGCGATAAGGGAGTACCGGATGGAAGAGATCACGCAGCGCGAGCACTCTGCAACGTACGAGACCTTCTACGGCGTCAAAGTTAAAATCGGGGCCTGCTCCGATCAAGGCGCAACACTCCTCACTTACGTAAATGTCCGGATGACCGAGCGGAAAAGCACCCGTCTTCAGCACATACGGGTACAAAGAACACACGTCCACGTAGCGTATCTTCTCCGTACCCGAAACTTCGTACCGCGTGATGATATTTTCCGTACGCCCACCGTAGAACGCCTCGCGAAGTTCGAGGGGATTGTTTCTCATCATGGGATGATTTTCAACGAATTCGCATATCTCGCAATTTTCGCGCAGCTCCCGATCGAAGATACACTCCCACTTTTCCGTAACGACGTAGCCCCGTTTTCTAAGACGACGCGTCATCGCGAGTGTGCGCTCGTAACGCGCTTCGATCGTATCCTCGCGCGACACGGTTGAGAACGGTCTGTCGCGGTTCACGCAAAAACACTCGGGACATCCGTGCCAAAAACAACCGTGAAACTGCAGCACGTGACGCTGCCGGGGATTCTCCGTCTCATAATACCCGTCGACGAGCGTGCCTTCCGATAAACGCCGTTCCTGACCTCTCCCCACATAAATTATCGTGCGTCCGAGCTCATCCTCCATCTGCAATAACCATTGCAGCGCTTTACGCGATTGCGCGTTGGCATCCCTATAACTCCCGAGCGGGATTATCCCAATTTCCTTCTCGCGCAAAAAGTTTTTGCGAAAAACTTTCATACACGTGGAAGCGATAGTCGTGCATTCTTCGAACGGGCACACGTTTCCGCGATCTAGGAAAATTCTTTGATAGGCCAGACACGCTCGTCGAAGAATATCTACGTCGTTCCGGCAATAGCGCACTATCTCCTGTTGAAAATTAAATACCGCGTTTTTACCCATCATTTCAGCGTGCGACGTTAAAAATTGTTCGCGTTCGTCCGATTTCATCGTATCCGGTGAATAATAATCAATATCCGGTAGCGGGCCAATATAATTTTGATTTTCAATTGTGTTGAATAAATGCGGAAATACGCCTTTGGCGACGGAATCCTTCAGTCCGAAAGCTTTCGGTAACGCCGACAGCCACATAGGCATGTAATTAGCGCTATCGAGAAATTTTGTCCGTCCCACGGTTAATAATACAATTTTTGTCCCATTTAATATTACTTTCGGCTCGTTCGTTCTACCGCTCTCGACCAGGTAGCGCAGGATGAACTGCGAGTCGAACGCCACCGCATTGTGCGCGATACAGATGAAGCAGGAGAAACGCTTCGTCGTTCTTGTTGCAAAATCGACGAATTGTTTTACCGGATCATCGCGAAATACAAATTCGCGCATCCCGCAGCAGCGACATCGCGACGCCATATCGTCCTCTCTCAGGCAAGATTCGCACGTTTGCTGCGCGACGCAGAGTGTAACTACGTGCGTTTTAACGTTGGCGCACCCTTCGAGCATTTCGTCTTGCCGCGTCTCGAAGTCGTAAAATATAAACGCGGTGCGACCCTTCCGATCTGTTCTCGCATCATCGTCATTATCGTCGCTATCACCGGTCTCGTCGACATTTTCGAGTTCTTTCGCGTTGACCGATGCCGATACGAGACCCCCTCGAAGCGGCCGCATAAAACACAGGTGATTCAGCGGTTTTGACGCGTAACATATACGACAATAAACCGCGCCGCACGCGTGTTTTGCGCCTGATCTTTTCAAACGCCCGCAATCGCTGCAAAATTTCACGGCGTCGCAAACACTCGACGACGATTTGCCGGCGTAAGATTTCGGCGCGCGATGACGTTCGAAACAGCTCTCGCCGTAAAATACGCGGTTACACGCGTCGCAGCCGACCAATCGCGCATCTAGCTTCTCGCACAGCGGCGCACCGACAACGCGGACACATATTTGAACACCGATGACCCGTTTCACGACGGTAACCCCTGTTACAGGGAATACAATAATATCTACTAGCCGAGACGGCTTTTAAATTTAAAATAGGCCTATAATGCCGCGAGCGGTCGTAATACATTATATTTAATGTATACTTGACTATAGGAGAACGAGAGGCTAGCGTCGAGTGTCCGTCATATAACGGAGGGACTCCGCGACCGAAACTCTTGAAATTATAAACGACAATCGCGATATTTTTTAGCGAGAGAAGCTGCTGAAAACGCTCGATCTCCGGGATGCCGGATCTCTTTCCTCGGGTATAACTATACCGGCGTTTCTCATTAGTTCTTCCGCCAAACGTCTCTGCAAGGCGGAATATAGGTGCCTTATGTTTTCCTATTTTCTATGAAGTTCGCCCGTGCATACTGTGCCGCGTTCGCAATAAACACGAGCCACAACGAGGGAGCGGGAGACACATATCCCGATTATTTATATTTAAGATCGAGTGTTTTACCACATCTTCGCGCGTTAATTTATTCGATTTTTCCCCTCGGCCCGAAGGCATCCCGACATTGTACACAGTTATTAAAAAGCGTTCCGCGATATCGGCGCTCTGCGCTACCGAGCTTACGAGACCCCAGATATCCTGAGTCAAGTCTCGCACCGGGCGAAACGACAAGCCAGCCGGCCCGCGTGTTAAACCCGTCGAGGCGAAAGACAGCCCCACGTAATCGTTCGCGTTAGCGGAATTAACAACGTAAGAATAGATTTCGCGGAACGCGTTTTCTAAATATTTAGCGATGTCGGTGCCTTCGACGGATGGGAGAATCTTTATACTAACCTCTCGTCCTAATATATGGAAATTTCTAAACCGCCGCGCGTTTTCCTCTCGTATTTCAATATAATTAAACTTAACATTACCGCGCTCGTGAGGAACTTCTTCTTCTTCCTCCTCCTCCATAAGCTCCTCTCTCGCCGGTTCCGTTTCGGAGGAGGAGAGAACGCGTCCGCGTGTGCCTCCTTGTTGTAAAAGAATAACGCAAAATAATTATAAATGCGAGCTCTGTAAAAAATATTTAATATTTTAAGCCATCTTATAACTTACGTTCGAATTTACTCTTCCGGCGTTAAATTGAAATACGATAATTCCTGACTAGAACCCCATACGGGGGAATCGGGAAAAATTCGTAATTCCGGGGGGATTTCCGCGTTACCCTCCCACAATATTCTTTCCCATTCCGCTTCTCTTTCCTCCTCGAGAATGTATGGTATACGAATTTCCCCTTCGTTGGAATGGAAGTTAACCGGCGAGTAACTCGGTTCTAATTTCATTTACAATCAGTTTTGATTAAATTCGAACGTAAACTAAACATAAATAAACATCTAAAGAATTCCGCGTGGAATTTTGCGCGCAAAAGTTCTCACCTGCTAATGCTAAAGAAAGTGACTCTCGATAGCGGCGAATATTTTCTCCATTGCCCCCGGCATTGTCGTCGTCGTCGTCGCGTTCCTCTCCCACATTACTCTCCTCGATGCCGTCTTCGTCGACATTGACGTCGTTGCCGCCGTCATTGACGATGACAACGACGTTGCCATCATCGCCGTCATCGTCGTCGTCGCTGTCGGATCTATCTCCACCGTCTTCGGCGACGCTATCGCCATCGTCGGTGTCGTCGTCGTCGGTGTCGTCGTCGTCGGTGTCGTCGTCGTCGGTGTCGTCGTCGTCGGTGTCGGTGTCGTCGTCGTCGTCATCCTCGTCGGTGTCGTCGTCGTCGACATCCTCCTCGTTGCCGTTACCGTCGTCGCCGTCGGCGTCGTCCGCACCGGTAGCGGCGGCGGCTAGCGTTTCACTAGCGCCGGCATCATTTTCGATGTTTTCTGAAAATAAAATTATACTTATATCGCATGAATCGATTTTAACATGGCAACTTTTGTTATTTTATAAATATTTATACTGTCTTACCTATGGGTTCAGCAGCGACGACGACAGGCTCGTTCACAAGCGTTTCCACGCTGCAGATGCTATCGGAATCCCATAAGTCGGCTTCCGATGACTGAGCATTATTACGACCTAAAAATTATTTTGGTGTTAAATAATTTACCCTATAAACTGCATTAAATCCTCTCTCCCCCGATTTGTACTTACGCGAAGTCGCCTGACTCGGGTAAGCTGGTTCCTCCACGAGGCGTTTACGACCCCGTGGAAGAAGCTCAAGCGCCTCCTCGTCACTGCTACTGACGGCTACGAGACTCGCTCTTATAAAACGATAAAAACAATAATTATTCTAAAAATTCGCGTAAATTACTTAGTTTTAGTTTTCGTTATAAAATTGATATGTTTTAACTTACCCGTTGTAGGATATCGCGTCGGCGATAATACCCCACACGTCCTCGACGTTCTCTTCAAAATCCCGTCAAAATATTAGAATTTCACGGATTATTTCCGCTAATTTCGGATCACCCCGAAATTTTTCACACTTACACAAAAGCGCTAGCAGCTACAAGCGCATGCAAAAGAATAAAATATGCAGGGTTGGGAAGTAACGCGTTACTTGTAACAACGTTACTATTTCGTTACTTTTTTTTTGTAACGATTTGGTAACGCCGTTATTTTTTTGTATCAGTAACAAAAAAGTAACGGCGTTACATTTTCTTTAGTAACGAGTAACGAAATTCATCGTTACTTGTATCGTTACTTTTTTTACTATAGTGACTTTTGTACACAGAACGCGGCAACACTTGCCACGCGACGAAAGTTTGCACACGATAAACGATTAATATGCTTTTCGTAAAGCCCATTCTACAATAAGCAATAAATCTTAAGTCATAACAAAATTGACCAATCATAGTCGACTATTAGAAGAATAATCCACTGTAATTGGTCAATTTTATTGCAACTTAAAACTTATTGCTTATTGTAGAAAGCCTCTAAAGCATGGTCTACAATAAGAACTTAAGCCTTAAAATTTAAGCTTCAAATTCTAAGCCGTAAGAAATTGATCAATCACAATCAATTATTTTTCTTATAATTGACTGTGATTGGTCAACTTCTTACGGCTTAGAATTTGAAGCTTAAATTTTAAGGCTTAAGTTCTTATTGTAGACCACGCTTAATCCTTTGCGACATACATTTTTCTATCAAATTAATTTCACAGATAAATGTACCTTTAGGGTACATTTTAGGGGTTTTTGGTAATCGCTGATTACGAATCCGAAGCAAGATTTTCAAAATTTAAAATGGCGGATCCAATATGGCGGACGAATTTTACAAAATTATAGTATTTGTATGAAACCTAGTATCTAGTGTTTTTTTGGTTCTCTGATTATGAATCTGATCTCAGATTGTTGAAATTCAAAATGACGGATCCAAAATGGTGGGCAAACATGTTAAAAAGTGGATAAAATATCATGAAAATCATTACTCGACGGTTTTTAGGGTCGTTAATTACGAATCAAATATCAAATTTTCAAAATTCAAAATGTTTGATCCAATACAGAAGACCAAGAAATAAAAGAATGTGT